ATATCAATTTAAACTCTTTAAATTTTATCAAGCTTGTGGATGACATAACATATATCTAACTTTGAACATGAGAGAAACAAATAAGGGAAAATTTAATGTCATTCCAAGGAATAATTTACACGAAAAAGAATAGTAGAAAAAGATGAAAAGTACTTTGATATCTTACTTATAAGTGCTCATGATTAATCTGTAAGGAAATAAGAGCAAATGAAAGAGACAAGAATTAAACTTGAAACCATATTAAGAAAAACTAATATCAATCAAATAACATGCCACTAAGTAGGTGACATCTGCCTCAAAATATCGACACATAGAACAAATCAAACAAACAAAAATCAGTTTTCAAGGTCTCTATTCAACTTCTCCTGCTTCTTCTTCTACATCTTCTTTATTACCATAGTATCGTATACCCATTTTAATTTTAGGTGTGCCTATAGTCAAAAGGCCTTAATTTGGATTTTAGGTGTGATAAAATCCTTCCCACCCCCACCCCCTCCTTCTTATTCTTCATCTTCATAATCATACCCGGCCTTTTTCATCAGCAGTTGCATCCTGATACTGTTGATACTCAGAAACCAAATCATTCATATTACTTTCAGCTTCAGTAAACTCCATCTAATCCATCCCTTCACCTGTATACCAATGCAAAAAAGCTTTCCTCCTAAACATAGCAGTAAACTGTTCACTCACACGTCTAAACATTTCCTGAATCGAAGTTCAATTCCTGATAAAAGTAGACGCCATTTTAAGCCCAGTTGGAGGAATATCACACACAGTAGACTTCACATTATTCGGGATCCATTCTACAAGGTATGAAGAGTTCTTGTTTTGGACGTTAACCATCTGCTCATCCACTTCTTTTGTGTGCTCATTTTACCTCGGAACATGGCGGAAGCTGTGAGGTATCGGCCATGGCGGGGGTCGGCGGCGTACATCATGTTTTTGGCGTCCCACATTTGTTGGGTGAGTTCGGGTACGGTTAGGGCTCGGTACTGTTGGGATCCGCGAGAGGTTAATGGGGCAAATCCAACCATGACGAAGCGGAGGCGAGGGAAGGGGATGAGGTTGACTGTGAGTATTTTGAGGTCGAGTTCAGTTGACCGGGGAAACGTAGGCAGCAAGTTACACCGCTCATGGTGGTGGAGATCAGATGGTTCAGGTCACCGACCGGAAGTGAAGGTTTGTGAGCATTTAGGATTGGGAAGATTTTAGGAACCAGACACAAATATGGTATTGAGGTCTTGATATAATGGTAGGGTTCAAAACGGATTGTCTAATGTGATATTGTAGGGTTCAAAATGGATTGTCTTATGTGATATTGGTGATGAAAGTTTAACTTAAAAATATTAGTTTTACTTGAGGCCAAACAAAAGATAAATATGGTGTATTTTGATATTGCCATATTTATACATATATTTAAATAATATTTTAATACATTTTAAGTTATATTTTGGTTAATTGCAAAAATATGTGAGATATGTATGTAATACTTATTGAATTAATTCACAATTTGCAGTCAAATAGGACACTCTTGACGATTAAGGACTAGAAGTGACAGACATTGGAACTTTGGAGGATTAAAGCTTAAAAGAAGAGAAATCTAGCAAAATACAAAACTCACCAAGTGAGATATCAATTCTCACGGCGTAAGTCCATTCCGGTTCAATTCAATCTGAACCGGTTTTTACCAAAACCGGCCGGTTCAATCCGGTCAGGAAATCGTCATAAAACCGGTCCAAATTGAACCGTCCTCACCTCCGGTTCGCGGTTCGACCGGTTCAATCGGCCGGTTCGAACCGGTTTTTAAAACACTGATGAAAACTATATATATCCCTTTTTATTTACGATGGAGAGAGCTTTTAGAGAGGAAGGATATTCTGAGATACTCGAGATTGGAAGTCAGAAACTTGCGAAAAAACATACCTTGGAAGAAGACATTGTTTGAAGATCAAGAATTTGAAGATTATAACTCCACATTTGGTTTGCATTAATCATGTCAATTTCTTATGAACTTTTGTGTTTGAAGATTATAATGTAGTTTACTTTCGTTTAGCTAGATGAAACCTTAGATTTATGGTTTAGTTGATTATTTTATTAGATTTTATTAAGTTGGATTTATGCTTGTGTTTGATTATCATTACCTAGCATGTTAAAGTTTGTATCTTTGTTGCTTAAAATCAAGTTTAGTGTAGCTTAGTGACCATTAAATTACATGAACTTGTTTACCTAGTAGTTTACAGACCATTAAGTTGCTAGAGCTAGGAGTGATCACATCTTAGATAAGTGATAAAAGTAACAACTTTAGCTGTGTTGGAGAACATAATTGTGATCATTATTGTGTTTGCTTATTTGTCTTAGATAAATCTGACACAGCCCAATTATCATTAATAACTAATTATGTGTTTGCTTGTGTAGGACTATTACATAGTAGTACATGGATTGGTGAAAATATTAGTAGATTGGACCAAGATTGCTAATTACATAATAATTGGTAACCAACTTTATTAATCCATAAATAGTAACTAACCATAGGAGAAAGGTGGATTCGAAGCTAAACTAAAGTGTTTTTAATATATTGAGTAAAACCGTTTTTAGTTGAGTGCTTAAGTTTTTATGAACATGAAAAATCAGATAAAAACCTCTTTTTAACTATTGTTTGCTTTTAGATTAATCTTTTAGTAGTTATTTTAGTATACTAAATCAGTTCCCTGAGTTCGATACCCGACTATTCGTGCTATACTATTTGTGATTAGGTCTACTGCCTTAGAGGTAATAGTTAGTTAATTAGTTGGTTAAAACTAGTATATAAATTTTACGCATCAGTCATGCATGAGAATTAGGTCACCTTTCTTTTTATTTTTGACCTAATTTTAGGAAAGACATGCATTAGACATGGATGTCCATAAAGTAAGGATTTTTTTGGTTCTTTGGAACGTAAGGAAGCCTTTTGGAAAGTCTGAGCAAAGGACTTAACATATTTAGAGCTTATTCAATTAAGTTATCTTGGGCCATAAACCACGACGTGTCATGATGCTCGTCGTGACGTGGTGATGGGTTTCCGCAATTGTATTTCCGTGTAGCTACCACGACGTGGTCATTGGTTGGCCACAACATGGTGACTTACTGAAGTTGATTTAGACCGTTGACTTTTGACTAGTTTGACTTTTAGTCAAACTTAGAGAGGTTTTAAGTGGTAGCCCGAGGTTTGGTTTGTGATTAGTTAGGAGGTTTGTGTAGCTTATTATGTGGGATTATCGAGTAGAGGATTACAACTCTTTAATCAGGTGAGTTTTCTCACTATACTGTGTAGGACACTAAGTGTCATGTATGCTCGATTATATGTGTAACTTTTATATGAAAGATTGTGGTGGGATCACAACACTTGTATGAAAGATTGTGGTTGGATCGCAACACTTGCATGGAAGACCATGGTGAAACCATGGCGGGAAAGACTACAGCGGGGCTGTTGCAACGAAAGTGACTGTAAGACTATGGTGGGATCATAACATTCATACCAGTTAAAACATACCCCTAAGGCGGGGCCCACTGGTATGTATGATGTGTGATATTTTGGGGAACTAACTAAGCTTTGTGCTTACGGTTTAAGTTTTAAATGCTTCAGGTACTTCCAACAGCAAGGGAAAGGAGCTAGCTTGATTGCATTGCATCCACCGATGATTTTCGCACTATGAGATTTTAGGATTTAGTCTGATATTTTTATGAAAACAATATACTCATGTTTTGGATTACTTGACTTGTGATGTTTATTACTTAAAAATTGAAAAAAATTCTTGGTATTTCTAGGATGTTACAAATTATACTTAGCATCATCGACATATATGTGTTCTAAACCTATTAACTTTCCAAGCCTCAAATACTCACAATCCTCGTAAATGCTCACCACTCATTTTGAATAATACTTCTACATTCCTTCGAATATGTCATTTAAAACCCTCTGGCCTCAAGGTATGTTTACCAAGTTTCATAGAATCAAATAAAAGAGAACTACGAAACGCTATTGACTTTTTTTTTTCTATTTCCTCACTTTTTATTCTCGCTTTTCTTTTCTTCATTCTTTTATTTATTTATTTATTTGATTCTTTTTATTACATTTTTCTTGCTTTTCCTCACTTTTCCACACTTTTTATTTTTCAATTTTTTTATTCTTTTTCTAAGTAAGCAACTCACTTTTTTGTACTCTTATTTTCTTTCGCTCATGACTATAAATATCAATAGACTTAATAACTAAACGGTGCCCATGACTTTCGGTTACCCCATTTAGGGGAGTAATTCATCAATCCGATTCGAATCAATATACGCCAAGTGGAATGGATTGACCATCCCTTGGAGGACCGAAACCAAGTCTTAAAGGTCGCAGATTAACTCCACACCTAACCTATAAATAACTAAAATAATAATAGATAACTAACAGCAACTAGAGAATTTAACTTAAACATATATTGGCTAATGACTCAGTCAAACTACACAAGTGTCCATTTTTAGCTCATAATTTCATTGAAACATAGAAAGTTACATATATATACTAAGGGGGTGTTTGGGTTATCTTTTGAGAGGTCAAAAGGACTTTTGGGAAAAGTTACAAAAAGCCAGGTTTTCCTGACTTTTCCAAAAAGTCAGTTTTCCTTCTATGAAAAATCCAAAATGAGCTTTTAAGGAGCTTTTACCAAACATCTTTTCTATGCTATCTTTATCTAAACTTTTCCAAAAAGTCAGTTTTCCTTCTATGAAAAATCCAAAAGGAGCTTTTAAGGAGCTTTTACCAAACATCTTTTCTCTGCTATCTTTATCTAAAAGGACTTTTAGTCTCTCAAAAGATAAGCCAAACACCCCCAAAAACATACTTACTAAGCAAAAGCTTATGACTCATTTCAAACCATTTTATACAATACCAATAAACTCAACCTATTTGCAATGCACTTATTGTATACATAATAAATTTTAAAATAATAATAATAAGAAGAAGAAGAAGAAAAAAAATAGTCTCCCCTGAGGTATGATTATGAATTTTCTATATACTGCAAATCCATATTGTATCCAAACAACTCCAGATTATCACAATATCGAAAGAAAATGTCTTCAAGTTATCACACATCATATTATCCCACAATGTTACTCGTCTTAAACTTGAAACCATACTGAGAAAAACTAATATCAACCAAATAACATGCCACTAAGTAGGTGACATCTGCCAACACACCAAACAAACAAAAATCAGTTCTCAAAAGTCAAAAGTCAAAAGTCAAACCCCCTCTTCAACTTCTTCCTCTTCTTTCATCTTCATAATCATACCCTTCTTCTTCAGCAGTTGCATCCTGATACTGTTGATACTCAGAAACCAAATCATTCATATTACTTTCAGCTTCAGTAAACTCCATCTCATCCATCCCTTCACCCGTATACCAATGCAAAAAAGCCTTCCTCCTAAACATCGCAGTAAACTGTTCACTCACACGTCTAAACATTTCCTGAATGGAAGTTGAATTCCCAATAAAAGTAGACGCCATTTTAAGCCCAGTTGGAGGAATATCACACACAGTAGACTTCACATTATTCGGGATCCATTCCACAAAGTATGAAGAGTTCTTGTTTTGGACGTTAATCATCTGTTCATCAACTTCTTTTGTGCTCATTTTACCTCGAAACATGGCGGAAGCTGTCAGGTACCGGCCATGGCGGGGGTCGGCGGCGCACATCATGTTTTTGGCGTCCCACATTTGTTGGGTGAGTTCGGGTACGGTTAGGGCTCTGTATTGTTGTGACCCGCGAGAGGTTAGTGGAGCAAATCCGACCATGAAGAAGTGGAGGCGAGGGAAAGGGATGAGGTTGACTGCGAGTTTTCTGAGGTCGGAGTTTAGTTGACCGGGGAAACGTAGGCAGCAGGTAACACCGCTCATGGTGGCGGAGATTAGATGGTTCAGGTCACCGACTGGAAGAGAAGAGGGTAGTGGAAAAATGATTAGAAGAGTAGAAGATTAGAAGATGAAGATTGAAGATGAGAATTAAGGGACTTACAGCTTGGTGTTGTGAGCTTTAGGGTTCTGAAGCAGATGTCGTAGAGAGCTTCGTTGTCTAAAACCATACATTCATCGGCGTTTTCAACGAGTTGGTGGACTGAGAGGGTGGCGTTGTAGGGCTCGACAACCGTGTCGGAGACTTTTGGAGATGGGAAGACGGAGAAAGTAAGCATCATGCGGTCCGGATATTCTTCTCGGATTTTGGAGATGAGAAGTGTTCCCATTCCAGACCCGGTCCCACCGCCCAAGGAGTGGCAAACCTGAAAACCTGAAATTTACAAGTAGAAACACAGAAACAGAGGTCTCCTGTGAGATCATCCAAAATGTAATTCAGCAACTTAAAGCTCAATCGATGAATGATTAGAACAATCACAAGTGTGCGTTCATCGACAGGTATGCAGATCAGAAGTTTAAGAACTAATTAAAAAGGTTTCGATGGATTATGACTTTATTTAACAGATAAACATAACAGAATAGCATTCATGAATCAACAGATCTGCAATAATTCAACTCAAAAAACCTAAAAAACGAGCAGTATCGAATACGAAGCATGAACCATAACCACTGGACTATAGTGATCTAGAACAGAACGCAGTAAGCGATGCGACTCATACGGACACAAAACGCAACAGTCGACTGTCTCAATCCAAAATGAACACGATAACATTCAAAATAAACGAGATGAAACATACCTTGAAGACAATCACAATTCTCAGCTTCTTTCCGTACAACATCTAAAACCGAGTCAATAAGTTCAGCCCCCTCGGTGTAGTGACCTTTCGCCCAGTTATTTCCGGCGCCCGACTGCCCAAACACGAAGTTATCCGGCCGGAAAATCTGACCGTACGGACCTGATCGGAGACTGTCCATAGTTCCCGGCTCCAAATCCATGAGCACCGCTCGCGGAACGAACCTACCACAACTCGCTTCGTTGTAGTAAACATTGACGCGCTCGAGTTGAAGATCATTGTCACCTTTATACCTTCCGGTGTAATCGATCCCATGCTCAGCGCATACGACCTCCCAGAATTTAGCTCCGATCTGATTGCCACACTGGCCTCCCTGAATGTGCAGGATTTCACGCATTTTCGAATGTTTTAGAGAGAGAAACTGTATGTGTGTGAGAGAGAGAACGAAAGGGTTTGTAACTGAGGAAGATCAAGTGAGGACTGGTATTCAGGGAAGGGGGTTTTAAATTGGTTGGAGTAACGGCGTTTTCGTAATGCCGTTAGTTTTTAGTTGAAGTAACGTTCAAAGTTGAGACGGTGACGTTCCGTTTGGTTTACTTACGGGGGAATTTTGAATTTGAAAATCTAAAATGGTTAATTATTCCGGCAACAGCCAACAGGAGTCAGAAACTCAGAAATAAGTTGCATGTTAAACTGGGAACTCTGTATCAACTACTTGGTACATATATCTTCAACATGACAACATCCCTTAACGTTTTTCAGTTATTTTTCTCCTCTTGGGGCTTGACGAGTGGGGCTTTACTATAGGATAAGTTGTTTGATACTTTTGGTTTCTTTGCATTACATGTTGTGGAGCATTTCAGTAGAGTATAGTAGAGTCTAATAGGTCATACATATAAATATTATGACAACAAGAAAAAAAAACTAAAAAATGATGTGAATTCACCCTATTACATATACGCTTTCGACTATACAAGAGAGATGCACGTGAATGGTGCTCTCACCGACAACAACTACAACGACCACACATAGAAGATGAAGAAATCTTCTTTACCGAAAATAAAATTGACTTTATTTATAGTTCGACAAGGACATCAAAGAGGGATCACCCCAATCATTTGATGTACGTGTGTTGCGATGCCATGATAAAGGGATGGCTCACCAATGTGATAGAGAAAGACATCAGGACCAACGTGAAATATGCTAACACTACAACATAATTATTGCTCGGCTTTGATGAAAAATTTGGCAAAGAATGTACACCACAAACATAGGAATTAAAGTAGGTGCTTATGATCATGCAACAAGACGGGACTTTCATATGCGCCTACTACATGAAAATGTGTGCCTTGTGGGATGAGATATAGATGGTGTCGCCAACATCCTCATGCATACATAATAAGTGCACATATAGCATTGGAAGAAGACTAGCCAAATCAAAAGAAAACGAGAGTGTAGCACCCGGTTCTTGGTACGTATTCAAATTCAAGAAATATTGGGATTTACTCTAGGACTCGGCAAGTTGGAGGCCCAACTCGTCGAGTTGACTCGACATTATGCGAGAGTTTTAGTAACCTACTCGACGAGTCGGGGGACCGACTCGACGAGTAGAAGCTGTCTGGACAAAACCCTAATGTTCAAGGTTTGCACCCTATTTAAACAACGTTTCTTGCCTTAACCCAGCCTCCATCGTTCCTCCCAACCCAGAGAAACCCTAACTCGAAACCCTAAGCCATTATTGAGTGTTCTTGAGATTTTTTGGTGCCTTTTGTGTGTATTAGAAGTTGAAGGAAAAGAAGGAAGCTTGGAAGTTCAAGTGGAAGTTAGTAGATCCAGAGATTGTACCCCAATTCCAGCTCACTGGAGGTATAAAGCTGAGACCTTGACTATTCTTTGCTTAGATCTTGATTTGGGGCTATTTTCTACCTTTTCCTAAGCCTTAGTGAAGCTATAGTCGGAATTGTGTGCATAAGTGGGTTTGTGCTTCAGATCTGGAACCATTGAGGGTTCCCATGGCATAAAGGTGCCAACTTTATGGCCATGGGAGACCCATGCTTCATATATATACCTCTTTTATGGCTTTTGAGCCAAAAACCCCATGCATGGACGTCAAGATTGGAACTTTACGTATGAAATGGATCCTAGGAGGTCATATCTATGGTTTTGATACATTGAGACCCATTGTAATCGACTGTATAGTTTTGGACAAAGAGGGACTCGGCGAGTCACAAGGGTGACTCGGCGAGTCAGGACGCTTTTTCCCCCAAAACGTCTTCTGGAAATGGTGTAGATTGAGTGGAAGGAACACTCAGCCTGCTAGGGGGTTCGTCTTGGACATGGGAATCATAGGACTCGGCGAGTGTATGAACAGACTCGGCGAGTCCAAGGCAATCTCCCAACTCTTGAAGATGGAATCGACGAGTTGTTCATACAACTTGGCGAGTCATAGACTGAACACGTTCATATGAGGGAGATGAACTCGACGAGTTCAAGGATGAACTAGACGAGTCGGTTGAAGATGGTCCCGATGTTAGGGGTGAAGAAGGACCCGTCGAGTGGTTGCTGGACTCTGCAGGTAGAATCGGGGTTTTAACAGTTTATGGAAAAGGGGACTCGACGAGTTGGCGGGCCAACTCGGCGAGTCGAGTCAACTGGATGTTGATTGACCAGGGTTTGACCTTGACTGTTGGCTTGGACTTGGGTTGACTCTTGTAAGAGGGTTATGATTATGAATTAATAATCGAGAAGGGTTGTGTGTAGGGATTGAAGAGTTGAGACGAGCTGATTTTGATGGGTTTTGAGCATTCTAACACTCCTAAGTGTACATGCAACCCTAAATACCTTGGATCTATGTTTTTCTCTATTATACATGCAAATATGATTATCCAAGGTATTATCCTAACTAGCATACCAAAACCTTGATACTAGGATACTAAAATAGATAGAATACATACCTTGTTGTTGTTGCTTGACTCCATGAAGCTTGAGAGCCTAGTGCCCCAAGTGTGACACCTCAAATGGTTCACACAACATCATGAACTCTTGGAATAACCATGAGAAGAAGACATACATGGCCCTCAAAATATGTATCACTAGTGCCACTTTCTTGAACTAAAGGGGTTCTTATATAGTGTGGCTATTAGGGTTACACCATGTAACTCATGACTTTACCCATTCCTTATGCTCCATGGGTTTTAACCTCCATGGAGTATCCATGGATCACCACATGGGTTAAACCCAACATAAAGGAATCTTGGATCATAAGCCCACATATATAAGAATGAATGATTTACACAATCAATCCCCATATATTTAATTAGTCTCTTTTTGATCACTAAATTAAGTCCAAATTAATTCTTGATCAATACTAATTAAATAACATGATTTCATATTAATATATTAGAACTTATAATATATTAATATGTCACAAAATGTCTTTTCCTCATAAACGGTCTATCCAAATGTTCCGATGCAAATGGACCATGCCGAATCGGGTCAAGTACATACCAATTATAGTTATGGACTTAGACACTAATCCAACAGTCTCCCACTTGGATAAGTCTAAAACTATTATTGCGTATGACTTCAGGAACCAACTGGCAATCGTAGCTCTCAAAAGCCGCTGTCGAACTCTGACCTTGTAGATGAACTCTGACCTTTGTCAATGACTTGTCCATTAGATAAGGGATCATATATTCCTCCATTCTAGATATCATATGGACTGAGACATGGATTATAATCATTCTCTCTGTCCATTTGTTGTTTCCCGATTTCCGATTTATGACGACTGACTAATTGAACAAATCAAATCAGTCCTGGCTCGACCGAGCACTTCCATTTGTCATCATCAAATCATCGAGGGGCCCACATATATCGCTTTTATCCCGAAGGTAAAAGGAATGGATAAACTTCGACTCATATGGCTTGTTCTACTACTTGTTGAATCATACACAAAGGCACGTTTTATAACACCGAGTTACCGAATGCGTTTTCGTGCAATCAATGTACAACCAACTCATAGTAACAACTCATATCTCTAGGTTTGAAGAATATAAGATATTATCGTCTCATGATCACTCGTGATAAAATCCATGAAGTGATTCCAATGAGCGCGGGTTGAATCCAATACTCAGAACTTATGAGCACTCATGAGTGTTGTAGCCCCTTGTCCAACATCTTAGACCTCTACAAGCCAACCCATGACAGTCTTGATTCATATCTACTTCCAACATATGACCGACTGTGGATAGTTTGAATAACTTAGTCAATCAGGAAGAACGACCTAGTTATTCTGGAAGTCAAAACATGCAAAATGAAACACAATAATAATAGAATCTAATATGGTATCAAAACCTATGAACACAAATAAAACACCTTTTATTTATCACCATATGATTACACATTATTCATTGTATACTGTTTCAGCTATCAACTTTATTCTTGAATTTAAAACAATAGTTGTCCCATGCTTCAAGCATGTACACTATGTTTTCTAAACACTAGTCATGCCATACACCAAGTATGCATACTATGTTTGTCTATGATCTTCACTTTGTGAATTAGATCAATTGAACATAACTCCAATGATCCTCTTTCACAGTCCCAAATCCTTACTGCAAATGCAAGAATTCCAAATTCATGCCATTTACTGAAATCTGTTAGATTCTAAACTTATATGCATTGATGCTCCTGTAATGATTATGCATAGAGTCAGAAAGACTTGACAACAACCATTACAGAGCATTCCAAGGAGATCAACTCCTTGGAAACATCCTTCTTGCATTAAGTTTCCTAATCTTACACAGATTGAATAATTTCCAACTTTGAAACATTTCCATATTCCATTTTGACTATCACTTCTGAACAAGAGTTGCCTCCTTACAGATTATGTCAATATGGTCCTTCCAGAATTAACACTATACTTCCAACTGTCCTTGAGCAACCAATCTTTGGTAAACCTTAGATTGTCCTCGACAATTGCTTAATCCTTTTAGTCATATCCAGTTCTAGACCTTTTCCCTTCTTAATGCCCCAGGCATTTGGAAAATTTTAGAAAGGATAAATATAGCACATGTAATCGATCCTATATCCGAAGCATATGGGACACGAGTCATGATGTCTCACATAAAGACTAAACCAGTCTTTTGCTATAACATTTCCATTTCTATTTGCCAAGTTCTCATAATTCAGATTATGAAAAGGGATGCCGTAATCATAATCGAATTTTAGAACGCAAATAATGGACCCATATATAGAACTTCCTTATGTTGAGTCATTCCAACATGAAATTCATATATATATCCTTGACTAAATACGACTTAAAACCTCAATCTAAGCTTTTAGAATTGAAATGAAGTATAATTTCCTCTCCCTTAATTATAGCAAAACAACTTTTTCAACCCCTGCAGCCTCACGAATTGAAACTTTTGTTTTCTATAATTAACATTGCTAACTTGCAATCTTTATCATAATTAT